CTGGCCAGGCACCCCAGTAGGGACCCCCACCCTGAAGGGGGTGTGACCAGCTGCAAACAGCCATCAGCCCCTCACCCAGGCTGGCCAGGCACCCCAGCGGGACCCCCACCCTGATCCGGGACACCCTTCAGGGCAAACCAGCCGGCCCCCACCTGTGCACCAGGCCTCTATCCTATATAATAAAAGGGTAATATGCAAATTGACCCTAACAGCAGAGCGACTGGAAATGACTGGTCACTATGACACACACTGACCACCAGGGGCCAGACACTCAATGCAGGAGCTGCCCCCTGGTGGTCAGTGCGCTCCCACAGGGGGAGCTCTGTTCAGCCACAAGCCAGGCTGATGGCTGCCAGTAGAGTGGTGGTGGTGGGAGCCTCTCCCGCCTCCTCAGTAGCGCTAAGGATGTCCAACTGCAGCTTAGGCCTGCTCCCCGCTGGCAAGTGGACATCTCCCGAGGGCTGCCGGGCTGCCAGAGGGATGTCTGATTGCCATCTTAGGCCCAATCCCCCGGGGAGCGGGCCTAAGCCAGCAGGTGGTCATCCCCCGAGGGGTCCCAGACTGCGAGAGGGCACAGGCTGGGCTGAGGGACACCCCCCGAGTGCAAAAATTTTTGTGCACCAGGCCTCTAGTTAGAAAATAAAATGCATCATACAATGCAGTCAGTGAAATATCAAACTGGAACTCTCTTGAATAAGTTAAAAATCAACTATTCTATACCATAATGTAATATTCATTTCTAATACAGTGAGATGAACATTCTAAATAAGGTACAAAAGCCATTGTTTTTAATGAACTATAAGATGGTCTTAGATTTTCATGGATAAAATATGATACATTTAAATAACCAGCTTATCTTGCTAAACACATTCTGGGGCCAACAATAAATATACTCTGGAAAATAGAAAATTAACTTATAAAGCATCCTTAAAAATATTTCACAAATTTAAAAATCATCAAATATCTCAATTTCATATAAAAATACCTGAGAAATTTGCTACATGAGTACATTCATCCATGACTCCTTTCATAAACAGCAAAGATTCTTTCTGAAGATTCTTTCTTCTTTGTTCTTTACTGAGTAGGTGGTATGACTGAGGATTGGAACTTGTATAACTACTTTTGTTGGTTGAAATTGTTTGATTGAAGCACTCCATCTTAGAAGTATCTTTCAACAAGAGTCCTTCTGATGTGGCACTGAAAGATGTTTTACTAGATTTATGACATTCATTATGTTTCGAGGACACAACCTGGTCTGTCATATCTAAATTTAAAGTTCTAGAAACCAGATTAAGGTTAGTGAGCTTGTCTGCACTGCTAGGGAAGCATTTCACGAACTCTTGTCCCACTTTGAAAGAATCTGTCTGAATATATAAAAGAAAAGAAAACATCATTTAATAAAAAATAGGATTTTTTTTAACAACTTTGTTCAAACAAAACCACAAATGTTCATCAACGAATAAAGGGAAAAACAAAATGTTGTATACATACAATGGATCATTAATGAACTTCTGATACATGCTAAAACATGGGTGAACTTTGAAGACATTATACTAAATGAATAAAACAGGCACAAAAGGACAAATACTATATGATTACATTTTTTATGAGGAATCTAGAGTAATCAAATTCATAGAGAGAAAGTAGAATGGTGATTGCCAGGATGAAGAGGAGGTGGAAATGGAGAGTTACTGTTTAACAGGTTCAGAATTTCAGTTTAGGAAGATGGAAAGTTCTGCAACTGGATGGTGTTGTCGGAGGAGGTGATGGTGGCAAAACAATGTGAATGTACTTAATACCACTGAATGGTACATTTAGAAATGGTTAAAATGGTACATTTCATGTTGTATATATTTTACCACAATTAAAAAAAAAGAAAAAAGAGATGTCAAAATTTAACTTAGGACTAAGACAGATTTATATTTTACTGCTAAATGTTTCCTACTGAACAGTAATTAAAAAGTGTAATTTAGTCTATCTCATGCTTTTATTGCCAAAGTATGGAAATCCAGATCTGCTAGAACTTCCAAAAGTCTAATGAGTGTATCCTGGCAGTAATACAATAGCCACTCCAAATCTCTTTCGCAGGATGAACTAATAATAATTTAAAATGATCAAGGAATAAATATTACCTATGAAAAATTTTAAAGTATGAACTCAGCTTAAAGACCTGTAAATACAACATCATTTAAATAAAAATAAACTTTGTCAAATACTAAAAGCAAAGTCAAAACATAAAAATGATAGCCTGGGAAAATATATTTGCAACTTATATGACAAAGAGCTTATTGCTTTAATAAGAGCAATAGAGTGAAGAGAAAGCCCAAAATCACAATAAAAAGAAATAAGCAAAGGGTATGCATATAAGGTCATAGAAAATAAAACAGAAATTAGTCGAACTTACCCTTAACTATGTTCATTCAGAAACTATCGCCTCTGAACACTCAGTTTTTTTATTTTTAATTTAAAAAAATCTATTTTTATTGATTTCAGAGAGGAAGGGAGAGGGAGAAAGAGATAGAAACATCTATGATGAGAGAGAATTATTGATTGGCTGCTTCCTACAGGCCCCACACTGGGGATCGAGACTGCAACCCAGGCATGTGCCCTGATTGGGAATCGAACCCTTGACCTCTTAATTCATAGGTAGGCCCTCAACCACTGAACCACACTGGCCAGGCAAGAAAAATTTTAAGGGAAACAGAAAGGGATGGAAGGGAAAATATAGATTAAGACACTTAAAAGAACTGTAGTATCTATCCCTTTCCCCCCTGTCTCTCTTCATCTAGCTCTCCATCACTCACACTCTGTCACCAAAAAAAAATAAATTATAAAATAAAAAAACAAAAGAGCTGTAGTATCTAAAGATGTACACTTGGATAATAAAATTATTTTAAAGAAAGAAGGAAGTAGTTACTATAAAAATCAGGATGATAATAGTAGGGGAGAAGGGCCTTTGATTAGGACACATGGAGGTGGTTTCAGGGTTGGGTGGTCAAGTTCTGAGCTGGGTGGTCAAGCTATATTCTTGACCTATTACAAATGTGTTTCTATTTAATAATGTATTAAACCATATTTGCTTTGAATGATTATCTATATCTGTTATTTTACTTATCTGTATTTTCTTTTAAAGAATTTAGAAAAATATTGCTTTAAAAAATTTGCAATTCTTTTTAAAAAATTGACTTTAAAAAATAAAAATTGACTTTAGAGAGAGGAAGGAAGGAAGGGAGACAGAGAGATAGAGAGAAGAACATGGATTTGTTGTTCCACTTATTCATGCATTTCATTGGTTGATTCTTTTTTTTTTTTTCCCCCATTGGTTGATTCTGACTGGGGATCAAATCTGAAACCTTGGCTTATGAGGAGATGCTCTAACCAACTAAACTACCCAGTCAAGGCCCAAAATTTGCAATTCTTTTAAAAAATTTGAATCATTAAACACAATCAACCCTTCCCCTAACATTATATAGAAACTACAAATACTTACTCCACAATATTCAAGCATGTGAATAATTTCTTCCTCATAAACGGTCTGTGCATAATACTGCTTTTCCAACTCCCTCCAATTAATTGATTTACTCAGCACACCCTGAAATAACAAACTAAAGTAAGATCAAATCACATCATAAAACATCTTGTCCAAAAACTGTATTATTACTGTGCAGAAGAGTTAACATAGCAGGCTTGAGATTTCCTAACTTTAGAAAGGCGTGCTTATAAGGTTGGCCCTCGACTAGAGTTTGAGAACTTGACTAATAAACAGTTCTTTACCCTGATGTAAAACTTCCGAAATGATGAAAAACATGAACTGATGAACAAAAACAGATCCAGAGACAGAGAAGCATGGATAAGACCATCAAACCTCAGGGGGAAGGTAGGGGAGGGTGGGAGTGGGGATGTCAACCAAAGGACTTGTATGCATGCATATAAGCCTAAACAATGGACACAGACAACAGGGGGGTGAGGGCATGAGTGGGGGGGTGAAGGACACATATGTAATACTTTAATCAATAAAGAAATTAAAAACAAAACTTCCTAAATGATAAAGTGGGTCTCTGTGCTTGAACTGGTTGTACAAACAATGCAGTTCCTGCTGAACACCTGCTTTCCTTCTGGAATTTTGGTACATGCCAGGCAGAGGGAACCTAAATGACTGAGCCCTGAGAAAAACCCTGGACTTCTGTGCTCAACTGAATTGCACTAATGGATACAATTTGGCAAATTTGTCACACTGCTGGAGGAATCCAACACAGAATGTGAGGTCTCCACTAAAAGCTTGTGCCTGGTGTCCTCTGGACTTTGCCCCCTGTATCTTTTCCCTTTGCTGATTCTGTATTGTACCCTTTTGCTCTAATGAGTCTTAGTCATGAGTACATGCTGAGTCCTGTGATTTCTTCTAGTGAATCACCAAACCTGGGGGTGGTTTGGGGATCCCCCCAAACAATTACCTATAAGCATATATAACTATCTAAATATTAATTGCAATTAAATTACCGTAGTGAAGACCCCAGATGCTGTAGACCAAGACAGACATGGAATCAATGGCATGGGCTTAGGCCAGTTGGATACCGCTAAGGAAGCCATCTGTAATATGTTAACACAGTCAGTTAGAGAGCTTCTGTTTAAATTTTCTACTCATTAAAATAAAAAATATTTAATATTAACAAGCACTTTGTGTAGTTGTTGATAAGACACAAAAAGACTCTAAACCAGCAGTTCTCAGCCTGTGGGTCGCGACCCCTTTGGGGGTCAAACAACCCTTTCACAGGGGTCGCCTAAATACATCCTGCATATCAGATATTGACATTACAATTCATAACAGTAGCAAAATTACAGTTATGAAGTAGCAACGAAAATAATTTTATGGTTGGGGGTCACCACAACATGAGGAACTGTATTAAAGGGTCGCGGCATTAGGAAGGTTGAGAACCACTGCTCTAAACACTCATGAGAATGACTAGCAAGCAACCTTTTCAAACCTCCAAAAGTCATAAATTCAACAACAACATATAACTTCCCCCTTTGAAAGCAATCTACACTAATAAAAGAGAAACATGGTAATTAGCGTATGACCGCTACCCTTTTCATTGGCTAATCAGTGAGTATATGCAAATTAACTGTCAGCCAAGATGGCGGCCGGCAGCCAGGCACTGAAGCGAGCATGAGGCTTGCTTGCTGCAGATTCCAACGTTCCCCCGCCTCACTTGCCAGCCTCTCAGTTGCAACTCTAAGCAACTATATACTATGTTGCAAATAAGAAG